AATCGTGCCATATATCGTACTCGGGAGTCTATTTTCATATATGCTTTGTTAGCGGACATTTGTTGGTCATTCGTGCACGTAACACTATTCAATTAAAAATATTGTTTTGAATCCTCGATCCAGCCCTAACCTCCAGACGATTGGGTTAAGAAGTCAAACCACGCCTCACTACCCTCCTCCAAAGCAGAGTCAAAATCCTCAGACGCACCAAAAATCTGTTAAGAGGAAAATTTTATGCTTAAGTATTTGCTCATGTTTAGCTGGCCTCTAAGTTTAATCAGTAATGAGAGCAATTTTTCTGAATGTAATCAAGGAATTTACACATCAGTTGCATCCTAACCTCAGCCTTTGCTGTTCATATTATGTCCAATATGACATTTCTTCCTAACAAAACTGATTGCTTGTAAGAGTTACGGTTAATTTATACAATTAGCCATTAATGTAACATTGTTAATTAATGCAAGTACACCCTTCAAGAGTTTTGTACTTCATTATCTGTGTTTGTGAATATGTTTTACGTTACTGTCAAAGATAAAAACAGGTTTCTGCAGCTGTTACCAATGAGTTAAATTACGTAAACCATTCAGTCTGCAAAAGTGTGTGACAAATTTACTCACTCTTTTGTGGATGAGCTAATTTATAATCAGCTATTGTAAAATAGAGATCCGCAATTTGCAAAATACAAATCTATTAATGATTTCTGAAATATATAGAAGTCTGTAATTTGCGAAAAAAAAAACCCACTAATTTGTGAAAAAGAAATGTGTTAGTGATTTTAACTTGCACAATATAAATCTGTAGTTTTCAAATTAGATATAAGACTGGTTAATGATTTGCAAATAAATTTAAATCTGTAATTCTGACATTTGCAAAACGAGAATCTCTACGGAAAACTCCACAGGCTGGAAGAATGAATCAGTCAGTTCACCACAAGTGAACTACCAGACTACTTAAGTCAGCCCCTATTAAGGGGAGAGCACTCAATGAGGAAATACAATAGGTGCATTAACTGGTACCCTATCTTTCTTCATTTACACCGAAGCTGTAATTCAATGAGTTGTCATGATTTAAAGGATGAGTTTTGAGAAAGTCACCTTTAAGTGATGATACATACCTCAGAAAGTGCACTAATATCTAGGGAGTAAAAAGAAGCAAATATAATTGTATCAATACAACTTTCAAGTAAATTATGCTACACATGGCATTCCAAAATTGGCACGTCTTTGGTTATTCATTTATCAGGTACTAGACAATATTTATGGTTTCCATGAACAAGAAACCAAATATCAATCAAACTTGATCTCTAAATTCTTTGAGATCAGAACAAACATGTGCATTGACCACTAAAACTTGAAAGTAAAAATTCACCGCAAATATGTGGTGCACATGCAAATGTATTGTGGACATCCTCAAAATCATGTGTTTCATCATCATGATGACTATTATAATTGCAGATGAGTGCAATCCTATTATGAGAAACCACAACAAAATCTGTTGTGTACTAAGCTGAAAGAGCTTGTAGTTAGTTAGCACTTGGCCCACTAGCTCTGTTGAATTTTCTAAGAGTGTGAATTATTCTTATTGTGGCTGACTTCAACTTCAAAAAAAAAACAAACATAAAAGACAAACTGATCGAGTCACTTTCATTGATGAAATGTGAATTTCTTGTTCTGACACATACAAAATATAGGAAATTTCGATAAAATGTACAATCCTTTTTAAGTCATCCAGCATTACTGCTTGCATCCTTAGTTTAAGTTCAAACAAGAAAACCCTTTGTAGCTAGTCTTACTTATGAAAGAAAAATACTTATTGACTAAGTCAGGTTGAGGGGAAAATATGTGGCTCTATAGGTCAAGATGCTTGTACCTCCCTGCCCCTCCATTTAAAAGTCATGACGTCAGGTCATTTATTTTCCTGTGCAGCCCTCTCGCTAATTCAAAAGACATTAAGTGCATGAACCATTAGCCTTAGCTCCTGACTGTTCAGCAGTGTCACTAGCTTCAGCCACACCAAGGGTATTGCTCCTGATTGAATCCTGTCCAGAGTCTGACTACATGAATGAAGAGTTATCAAATTCATTATGAGTAAACAAAAACAATTTCAGTTTGCACATTTATATGTTGCACCCTTAATTATGAAATTATTGAAAAAATAATTTCTAAGCAAATTTAACTCAAGACCAGAGATTGCTGCTGACTCAGCTAGGCTTCATTCTTTAGGGAGGACTG